TTGTGGGACGTAAACAAGGTACATTTAACTTGGTTTAATAGTTTGCCGTATAGTGTATTGTATGGAACTTTCTGAGTGAGTAGCATAGTACATCGATCATGGGCATATAACTTTATTAGTGTGTATGTGGGTGTGTGTAGATGTGTGTGTGGGGGGGGGGGGAGGGCGCAGGGGAGGACTGGAGACACGTGCAGTGAGTAGAAGCTGGACTTATAAATAGTAGCAGTGCATGTACGTGATAGGCTACTGGCTGAGCAATGTTATAAAACTGTAATCATGTTTTTGTATGAAAATAAAAATACCGGTTATTTCATGCACATTAATTGTGCCCTGGATAATTAAACTGCGGTTGCTACATCCTGGTTATGCAATTAATTTAGCGATTTAAACTTTTTGAAAAAAAAACTTGTAGGAAAAAACGACAAGCACACAGACCTATTAATGTTATAAATTAATTTGCACCAATTATTATCAGGATGGAAATGAGGCTACAGCTGATGAGGTGCGCAAACAAGGAGGTACGGCTCACGCGTATCTGTGTGACGTCAGCAACACTGATGACGTAAAGCGTGTTGCTGAGAGGGTGAGGAGGGACGTGGGAGACGTCACAATACTGGTGAATAACGCAGGTATATCAGTAGACTTACTACTACATATTCTAATAAATATTATATAATCAGGCTTCATTCAAGAAGAACATTTTATTACTATTTTTTACAAAAATTACTTTGAACAGCATTGCATCAGTTCAAAATGTTTTAATTATTAAATGTGTTTTCTCACTAAGAATAAGTTTATGGTGATTCAGGTGCAATGCTTTCATATTCATTTCATTTCATTTCATTTTATTTTATTTTATTTTATTTTATTTTATTTTATTTTGTGTGTGTGATTTAAAAGAGGTTACTGTGAATGTTTGAAAAACTAACAATTCATTATAAAATTTCAGACAAGCACTGTATCTTATCTGTGTTAGGTTGCAATGAGAAAATAAACTTACAGAAGAGCTATCTTTGACTTATTAAAAAATTAAAATGCATGTACTGTGGAATGTCAGAAAAATAATACAGTTTAGCATAGAATTCCTTATATATATCTGCATTTCAGGAATACTGCATGGGTTAGACCTCCTCCAACTAACTGATCAACAAATAAGAAAGACTATAGAGATTAACACTATGGCACATTTTTGGGTTGGTGATAGCCTCTCTTTTGCAAAAACTTAAATTTCTGCTCTCTCTCTCTTTTCAGCCTGATTTTTCTGTGTTTGCTCTAGAATTTTGTTTTCTTTTAACAGAAAAAAATATATTTTTATTAAAGTGGATAGTGGATTGGCTATTTTTATATTTTGTATTTCTTTTGTATTTGCTTGAGACTGAGTTATTCAATTAAAATTTTTATGAAAAAAAATTGAAATTGTTCTGTTATTTTCCTTTGAAAAACAGCTTTATATTTTTTACAATGTCTCATGTTGCTTGCAGTCTATGGTGGTGAAGTTTTAAGTTGATTTTGCTGAAGACAAAAACTTTTAACTTTGTAGCATTTTATTTTATTTGTACTACTAGACATGTCAGTTTGACTTTTCACTGATTTGTTACAAAACAATTTGTTTTTTTGAAGTTACCTGGTTTACATTGTCTTATGATAATTAATTATGTTTTAACAAAGCAACATTGAATATTTTCGTATTTTTCAGACTGTGAGGGAATTTCTACCAAAAATGCTTGAATTTGACCATGGTCATATAGTGACTGTATCATCAATGTCTGGGTTTTATGGGGCGTCTTACTTAGTGGATTACAGGTGGGTCCAGTTGGGTTTATTTATTTATTTATTCTGGACATCTCCCCGTGTCTTTCACCTCTCTCAAACACACAAAAATTCACCTCTCTCTCTCTCTAACACACACACACACACACACACACACACACACACTCTTTCTTTACCTTGAGGGAGATGAAGAAAGGAAGAGGAATCAGGATTATAAAAGGTAAAACAGAAAAACTCTGTATATCTTCTTGGTGTCACTAATACTGCTAATAAAACCTACATTACTTTTCCTTCACTGTAGCACCTCAAAGTATGCCGTCCGAGGTTTCACAGAGGCCTTGGCGGAGGAGATCAGGAGATTGGGGAAGACGCAGATAAAAACAACGACAGTGTTCCCCATGTTTGTGGACACAGGACTCGTAACAGGAATTGATCAGAGGTGAGTACATACAACAGTATAGTGAATTAATAAATATTAAATGAACAGAGAAATGGATAGGTGGATAATAGATTTCTAAATCAGCGGGTGACTAAACAAATTAATTAATAAAAGATGAATTATTTAATCTGTGAAATAAATTGATAGATCAGCTTGATTGAACAATAAATTATAAATAAAAAGATAAATAGATGAGTGAAGTAATGTAAAAGTTGAATACTAGGAAAGAGGGCAAAATGTTTTTCACCTTGAAATATTCTAAATCTGTAAGAGAAAGAGAAAGTTGAGTATTTTGCTGCATTTTACATTTGACTAAAAGGGTGGTTTTTGTATTCATGGGTCAAGAACTACACCAGTATGTATTAACTTTCATATACAGTATCAGTATGTATGTATATATATAGGTATGTATGTATATATAACTTGTTATAAATTGTTCTTTAATTCAGGTTTGAAAAACAATTAACCCCACAGCAAGTGGCTAAAGCCACAGTCAGTGGAGTTCTGAGAAACAGATTACACGTCTTTGTGCCTAGAAAATGTGACTTCACTGCAAGATTAAAAATGTAAGTATTGTGTTGTTATAATAATATATATTATAATTATATTTTTATTGTTATTATCTACCAAATAGATTATTTTTCTGTCAGTTGGTTTGTTAGGAACTGACCTTACTCAAAACATTCTGGACTGATTCTCATACAAGTGTCTGGATGGGTCAGAAATAGGGTAACTTTAAATAAAAATATTTTTATGATCCCCTTATTAATAAATTAGTTAAGTAATCAAAATTGAGTTGCCTTGTTGGAGCTTTGTGCTCGCTGTTTTTTATTATTGTTCATTTTATTGCTTTTTAAAATATTTTTCATTAGTTTGTCCTTGGAAGGCACGTGTAGCTCACTTGAGTTAAAATTGTGATAGATGTCAGCCTTCTTGATCTGTAAAGAAGTTAAAGATAAGGCCAAGTTAGGTGGTATTTTAGACAAAAAAAAAAGAAAAAACAATTCTGAGACAAGTGGATGAACTTATTTTCTCATGAAAAAGTGTAGAATTTTAGAAACCCACATTCTCAGTGTCAGTTTTTTCTTTGTCAAAATTTGACTTTTAAATTTAAAAAATGTACTTGTACACATTTAACATATTTGTTTTTTATTCCAGGTTCTTACCTACAAAAGTTATTAATTTACTCATTGATTTTGGAAACAGCAAAATTCAGCTGCAAGAAAAAAAGTCAAAATGACATCACTAGCGGAGGTCGCAATCAAGATGAACGAAAAATAACTGAGGGTAAATGGAAGATGAAAGCGAATCTTTAATGCGATTTTTGTTATCTGGAATTGCCCATTTACTTTTCAATGTCATGCTAGATTCTTTACATATAACCTTTTATTCTGATTTTTTAAAGTAACTGCCCACTGAACTTATTTAATTGTTATATCGCTTCATATCTAAGACATTATGTATTTTAATTTACCTTCATGATCAACGATCTCCTTTTGTACAAATTAATCCAATTAGGAAAAAAGAAAATTAATTATTTAAACGTGTTTTCGTAGACAATCAAAGTCATTTTATAGTACAAGTTACAGCGCTTATATAACTAAATTGGAAAAAAAACATCTGTGCAATAACTAGTATGCATGTAACGGTATTTTTAATTGATTTAGTGACGGTACATAAAAGTTTATACTGATCTACAAACTGTCACAAACTTATTTTATGATTTAAACATTTGTATATTATTTATATTATAAAGCTGACATATGTATATTCACAATAAAGAATTTTGTATTCAGAAGGTGTTCAGGGTAATTGTGTATGCTTAGTGATCCAGACATGAGCTTTTACCACAATTTACGTAAGGTGTTTGGTTCTACAATAAATCTTCAGAGTTTTTTTTTTTTTTTTTTTATGAAACCCCGGGCCCATGTCTGTGATCCCTTTTAAAGAGCATTACCAAAGCAAGCTACATTGTACGTTATGTG